ATAGCTGGAACACATGCTTGCCGATCGTTCTCCTTGGACTTCGGGCAGCTTTGAAGCGAGACCTGGGCTACAGTCCAGCCGAGTTGGTATATGGCTCTACCCTACGCCTACCCGGAAAATTTTTCACATAGGGCCCGTTTGCTCGAAGCGCTAACCGCGGCTAAAGTTAACCGCAGTACCTAGGAGAGGAATTTTGAAATCATGGGACTGGGCACGGTAGGGATGCGGGGAAACATGGCGGTGCCCCGCTGAGAGAGCGCCGCTCGCTTTGGAACAACTATGTCGTTGTAGCTGCAATATCGGGCGCGGTGGTCAGTAACGAATGGTGCAGGAGGCTTTCGCTTTGCCTTACCGCACTTAAATCGCAAAGCACGAGCAATGACCTCGCCGCAATTTTAAGATAGTCTTTTGATTCTGGCCATTCCTAAGCTTAAATGAATACGATAATTGTCGGCATGGCAACTTCTTTGGAAAGTGGATTGCCTTGACTCAATCGGCCGGGTATTGATAGCACAAAATTTCACAAGCGCCGAGGTGCATGCTACGAGTGTAGTTACACGCGTTACACCTGCTGGCGTCTGCAGTAGTAAATGTTCTAAAGCAAAAGTCTAAAACAAATTTGGCCTTACACGCGCGTTCGTCAAAGTCTTATTATGATTATTTACTTCGAATCTTTTATAAGAGGAAGGCCAGCGCGCGCGGACCATAAAATTACACTTCCAGCGTTCTCCTCGATGCTTGGGTAATTTAGAAAAAGGTCTATCAATTGGGACGCTGTCTGCTTTTGTGGGCTATCAATACCCGGCCGATTGAGTCAAGGCAATCCGCTTTCCAAAGACGTTGCCATGCCGACAATTATGGCGTTAATTTAGGCTTAGAAATGGCCAGAATCAAAAAACTATCCAAAACGTGCGGCGAGGTCATTGCTCGTGCTTTGCGATTTAAGCGAGGTAAAGCAAAGCGAAAGCCTCCTGCACCATTCCTTGCTGACTAAGCCGCCCTCTATTGCAGCTACAACGACATATTAGTTCCAAAGCGAGCGGCGCTCACTCACCGGGGCACCGCCATATTTCCCCGAATCTCTACCGAGCTAGTCACGTGATTTCAATATCCCTCTCCTAGCTACTCCGGCTAACTTTAGCCGCGGTTAGCGCTTTGAGTAAACGGGCCCTGGTATGGAAGAGCCAGCTCCTGGTCCTAAGACATATGCCAATCAGCTGCGAACGATAATGCGAAATCCCCGACCCACATAAGCAAGCAAGCACGAGCTCCAGTATAGGTATCTAACGACCTTGAAACGTGCAGCCACGTATTTCTACGCATGGACGGCTCTAAAAGATCGCTTCAACAATCATACACCGGGCCGCCTAAGAGAAGCCAATACTTTTACAGTCGACTACAATGGGCGCCAAGAAACCGTTTCCATTTACCGCTTAAAACCCGCTCATCAGGAACCGCTTGGTAATCCAAACCATGCCATTTATGCTTCCACCATTCCCGCTCGACCAACCACTGATCTCCACTGCCTCACCTCAAACCGATCCCCTCGACTAATCAGACCCACACAGAACACCTCCACTGCAGACAAGCACCTCAAGAATTCAACAGACCCAGCTCTGCTTATTCCGAAAACAACCGCAGAGACTCCTGTAAGTTTGGATCTAGACTATCAAACTCTCCGTCACACACGACGATCACTATTCACCGCAACCAAACAAACGCAGGCGATTATCCCCGAGCTCAGCCTCGCCAAGTGACGTGGTGTTTACCACCATCGCACGGTCATCCTAGCAAGGGGGGAACGAGAGAGGGTAGGGAGAGTATTGTAGGCTCCGAGCGCCAAGAAGAAAAGAGGAGCGCAAGTTCGGGTAGCGCGCGACACTCGACTAAGCGTGCAGCACGGCCGACAATCTCGGAGGGTACCGAAGATATCCCTCATAGCGTTACATATTGTAAAGTGTAAATAGTGTAAATAAATGTGTAGGACCTACACTTGGTCCCTACAGAGTATATGAACTCAAGCATCTGGAAAACATCGACATCACTCTAAATCATCGCTCATATTTTTTTATCTAGCATAGCTTCTAAGCGAAAATGAATTATCCAAGTGAATTTTGCCTATTATGTTAAAGTGCTTTTTTTTTATTAGCTCGTTGCAGTATTTCAACATGTAAATAGCGAGAAATTAAGGCACAAGTTTTAAGGACCACACAGAGAAATTTACAACTTGTCTTACTGGTTAATGTTTTTATTTTTTTTATTTATTTTATGATTGTCTCTAAGTAAAGTTCTAGTAAACTGCAATGTCTTACCTCAAGATATGTAAGAGACATTCTTACCCAAGCTGTAAAAGTAATGGAAGTCAACTGTGATAATATCGTGTTAATGATTCTTGGCATAGTTACGTCGACGCACCGGTAACTTGCATTCGAGAAGGAACATCTCACCCCTATGATAACTATATAGCTCCATACAAACATGTGGCAATGTAGTTAGAAACGTATTAAACGTTGAAAATCGGTGAGAAAATGACTGCCCAGAGAGCGCAGTTTTTGGTCAAACTTGGGTTCTTGTCTGAGAATGCAAGGCCTTTAAAAGCCCGAAGAAGACAAGGTAAAACCAAAGTTTACCCATTTGGCCAAAGCCCGGGTTCCGTGACCCTAATTCCCCTAACACGTACCAAAGTTATGCCTCACTACACGGTAGTTTCGCTGTCATTTGACACCTTTATGCCTAAATCGCCAAGCAAGTGTCAGATTTACACTCTAAAAAAAGGGTGTCACCGTACATTCATTGTTCCATATAATGCACCCCAAAACTTTCGTTCGACGTACAGCGGACTATAGCCGAACACACGGCCCCAAATTTTACAAGGGACTTGATAACGGTGCGATATAACTTTTTAAATAGCTAAAGTACGTATCAAAAACAACAGAACGAAAACCCTGAGTTTTTGCAGTAGAGCCAAGAAAACCCCGATTACTTCTTTTGTAGTGAGTAACACGTACATTAGCTATTTTAATAAGTTGTACCACAAGCTATCAAGCCTCTCTTGAAAGTTAGTACCGTGAGATCGACGTCAGTGCGTTGTACGTCAAACTGACGTTTTGGGGTGTATTATACGGGACAAAGGGTGTAATAATACGCCCTTTCTTTTTAGAGTGTAGGCTTCACTGCTGGTTCTCAGGTTTGCACGTGGTATCCTTGGCTGAAGCGTGGCAGTTTCGTAATTATGCGGTGAGCCAGAGGAAAGCCGTAAAAACACCAACAAAAAGTACGCGGGCACTAACTAACGCCTTGTTTTGCAAGCTTGTGCAAAACTAGGCGCAAGCTTGCAAGTCTGGCGTGCTACCTGGGCCGGTGGTGTCGTCAAGCCAACGTCAACCTTTATAGAGGACTTCTAATTCGGCACTTCAATCTTATATTCTTTTTGATTTTATGACGGGCTTTTTAGCGTGTTAGCTATTAGTGACTCCTGATCCTCTTCTGTTCCTCTGTCTCACTTCGTAACCGCCAGGATCTTCATTTTTTTTTTGCTGCATACTGGAATAAGCGCCAGCTCATAGCTTCTTTCCTTCATATCTTTTCCGCTAGATATTTGCCTTCCATGGAGCTGAAAACAAACATTGTCGTCTCTAGGAACATGACAGACCGATATGTTTTGTTATCCTTAGTAAGGTTATAAGGAATAAAAATACTGACAACACGCATCATGTTGAATTCAAGTCACAAAAACAAGTCTCGCTTATATATGCATTTCTGAACCCAGATATCAGAGTTTAAGGCATTTGTGGACCGAGATCTTAAGAAACTAGGATGGGTAGGAAAATAGTCTACACTGACGAAAAAAAGTGGGCAGTAAAAATACTGCCTTGCGGCATAGCGAAATATATTCTAAATAATGGAGAAAAAAATGTTAGATATGCAATTTTTACTTCCAACGATAGGTTCTCGAAAATGTTGACAAAAAGAGGACCAAACAAAATCCGATTATTATTATTGTTCTAATTAACAACTCTCACCTAAAGATTATGAGATACTCTGATTAGTAACTATAAGATATATTTATGTCTCTATACTCTTATTACACCTTGCATAAAAATTGATTCAATCACTGACTAAGTGTGACTAGACGTTTAGTGATAGGGGTTGTACCTGGTGGGATCAGTTATTCTTACTATGACTTAATTGTTTTTTTAAAGCGACAGCTTTGAAATAGATGCGTGGAAATTATAAACAACCAATCCCACAAAGGATAAAAGCGCGACCTGCTACCGCAAAATATTTAAATATCCTCGAAAGAAAAAAAAATTGGTTGCGACTAAGTTTAAAGGTAAGTATGTAGACATTCGGCATAAATGACGTTAGTTTGCTAACGCCTCTGCGTGCAAAAAAAATTGGGTTAACTTTCATTCTACGAAAAAATTTAAATTGAACAGAACATTCCACGCTCTCGCGACAAATTGGGGTGGTCACCCCGTAGCTAATGTCTCGATTTGCGACACTGTACACACCAGAATTGGGCCCGTACACTCGAAAAAAAAGGGTGCAGCAATTACACCCTTTGTGCTATATAATACACCCCAAAACTTAAGTTCGACGTACAGTGCACTGGTGTTGAACTGACGGCCCCAACTTTTATTAGAGGCTTGATGACGGTACGATCCAACATATTAAACAGTTGAAGTACATATTAAAAACTACAGGAGAAAAACAAAAAAACTCAAGTTTTGCAGTATACTGCAAAACTCCGATTACTTTTATGCACTTAGTCACTATTACATTAGCTATTTTAATAAGGTGTAGAACGCGGCTACTAAGCCGCTCTTGAACGTTGGTGCCGTCGGTTTAAACTCAGTGCGGTGTACGTCAAATTGGAGATTCGGGGTTATTATATGCAACAAAAGGTCTAAGAATACACCCCTTTTTAGTGTGTACTCGCGGAAAAAGACTCCCCACGTTAAGTGACCTTTTTAAGTGTTTTTGACATCCTTTTCCAGATTCGAGAAAGAAGGTGGAGGGGCCTACTCCTGACAGAGGTAAGAGCATTTTTATACATCATTTTTTTTATTTTATATTTTAGTATTCTTGCATTTTTTAGCGTATTTCTCGCATCGTCCTGGCTTGGATTGAAAAAAGAATTCACATTTTTTTGTGTGGATCCAAAACTAGCCTTGTGGTTTGGATCCAGATGTCATTCACAGCCTTTATACATATAAAATTTACGAAATAAAAACCTTCTTAAAAAAAAGCGTTTCCCTATGGTTTTAATTTTGGGAACTTATTAAAGTACCCACAATTTAAATACAATTATCCGATGTAAAAATTTTAAAACAATGAGGGCGCGAGCCAAAAATATACAAAAACAAAAATGGTCGTTGACGTGTGGGATAACAACGGGGAGCGTAATTTTTTCGCAAATTTTGAAGACATAACTTTAGTGCATTCTTATTTTCCGGCGCATAGATATAGTTGTTTATTCTCTTTTACATTTCGAAATATCTTGAGAGTACTATGATAAAAAAAAAGGTGATAGTGTGCGCGCCGAAAGAACGCTCGTTGGCCCACTGGTCTTTATTGCGGTTACTTGTTAGAAAAAACCTGAAGCCCTTCCCCTGTGAAGGAAACTTAGACTGATGATGAGCTTTAAACACCTGTTTAGACCCAAGTAAGCGAAACGCCCATCTATTCTGTTTCTACCCTGGCACTCCTCGTCGTCCTAATGCTGAACAAGGAAAGAGCGTTGCGCAAGCTCTTCATACATTTCGTCTCGAATCTTAATATTAGCCCCTTGTTGCCATCTTCTTAACTTGTTCACCGCAAAATAAAAGCACAGAGACGTCATTTATAATTTTCTTACCAATACAACGAAATGAAGAGCGTCAGCTTACGCACATTCGTGCTTTAGGTGACCCGTCTTTGACACTAACTATTTGATCAGAGACAGGCATTTGTCATTAAAACTGGAACCATCGGTGACAGATGTTTCTGCTAGCTCTGCCCAATGTTCTGCGTCAGCCTATTGTAAAAAAACGTACAAACGTTGAGAAAGAAATTTGTCCATCTCTACAAATCCCTCAGATATTGGCATTTCTTAGCCTGCTAACATTTGATAACTTTTTTTTTCTTCTTCTTTTTGTCCTTTTTTGCTTCAAAATTTTTAAATAATAAATTTGTTTTTATTTATTCTTGATGCTAAAAGGACAATTCAATTGCGCTATGTAAACTCTATGCGATGAGTACTAAGGTGCCATATTTCTTACGTTTCACTGATTAACTTTTTGGCCTTTCACACCGAACGTGTACAAAAATAAACCTCTAACATGCCTGCACTAAATGAAATAATTATATATGGCTAGAATAAAACGCATGCAGCCCCACACAATTTTCATAAAAGGCAAACAAATTGAAACTACACGAAGCAAACAAACACAGCTCTGGTTTACTTAACATATCCAAACATGTCTCCAATGTTTTCAGCACTCTGCCACCTCCCACTAGATGAAGGTTCTTGTGATGGCAGCGAAACTCGGCCCGAAACCAGGTTCTTCTATGACGCTCAAAAAGAGGACTGCATCAGCTTCATCTACGCCGGCTGCGGCGGGAACGACAACAACTTCAGGCTGCTCGAAAACTGCAACCTCACTTGCTTTGGTATGAAACAACACATGCTTCGTTTTAATCTTCCGTCCTTCATTACTCTTTATTTTAATTAATTTGCTCATAACTGTTGTTGTTTTTCAACACGTGACGTTTGCCCAAACATCAGCGATCAGTCAGGGTATTTAATAGTTTTTACGTCAGACAAAAACTTGACTCTTGTTTGCTCCAAAACAGCAGCCTATATCCCGAGAGAAATCACCACTATTATTTTTAAAGTTTACAAACTGTTTGAATACAAAGATTTGCGAAAGATAAAAAGTTGTCTAAGCTTAATAAACAAAAAACATATTCACTCAGTATTTTTTTACTACAATGTTTGAATATCTTACCATATTCCTGCACTCCTACCCTTAGTAACTTTTTTTTTTTTTCGGTGGGGTGGGGGGGCTTTGTCATTTTTGTTTTCTGGCGCGAGAAAGCCAGCCTAATTGTGGAAGATATTGTTAACCTTTGTTCATATAGAACAGAACTGGCCAGGTTGCAAAAACTAGAAATCTTTGCAGTTACCCTCCACTCCCTCACATTTGTAGAAATAAATAAATAAATGTTTCATGTTTAACGGTGCGCAACGATAAGGAGGCGCAAAATAACAAGACTCCCTTCACGCCTTTTGTGATATGTCTGGTGGCCCTTTTTTTTTTTTCTTTAGTCTTGATTGATTGATTGATGAGGTTGATGAGGTTGATTTAGCGTATTGCCTACATACAATTCTGGGTCATCTAAAATTGGCATAGTGAACCATAAATATTTCATCAAGAACCTATTGGTACAATTCACTCGTGCTCGTTCTATAATATCCTACGTCGCACCACCGGCGACGAGTCATTTTGAAGGCGCATTTCCTGCTCCCGCTTTCTCGCAGCTCTTGCCTTCAGGGTTTCAAGCTACGGTGCGAAGTGCTATCGCGTCCACTATGAGCTGACACTCCACGACGTGTTGCGCTCGGTACTACCAGAGCCGTCTGTCGCTTTGTTCGGCATATTGTGCAGCGCGCTTAAGGCAAGACCACCGACACCCGTTGGGCAAGTCCACCGACACCCGTTGCGCCATCCTGCGCTTCCGTGTCGCCAGCTAGTCAGCAAGTGGAGGCCAAATTACCTAGTATCATCGACCAGTAAACCATATTCATGACACAGCATAAATTTATCGCGAACATTCTCAAAACACTTTCTGTGGCACCCTGACTTATGATTACCTTCCACGTGCTTTTTCACACCGCCTGCTTTTGTTATTTCCGTTCCTGCGTTCAGGGTCCGTACCTCAGTCAACAGAGCACTCGGCTTCCATGCCGGTGATCGGAGTTCAATCCCTGGCGTTAAATCTTTTTTTTTTAAAGATTGTTTAGTATTTGTCGACGATTCACATGGCGGGGTTATCCACTGACGGAGTGATCACTTTACGAAATGTTTGCTGATCGCTCGTCTTCCAATCGCATCCCTTCGGAGGAGGCGACGAGCAGACGAGAGAAACACGGACCGAACGTTTTTGCGACTACGCCGAAAAACGTCAACATCGCACTGTGGCATTGTGGTCAAAGAGAGAAAACGACCTTTTGCGCTACTGTCGCGGCACTACCGCAAGAAATAATCGTGTGCAGACGCGCAGAGCGAGACAAAACACCGTGATAGTCTTAGCGCGAAGCGCCACTAGCTTTACTAACCCAATGCATGACAAAAGCATCGTTCTGCTCGAAGAGTCTTTGACGTAGAAGAGACAAGGTCCTAGGCACTCCGAGGTCCGTTTGGAGATGCCTTCACGCACGGCTTTACTCATCAAGACATCAGTAAGAAAGGTCTTGCAAGATGGTAGGCTAAACGGACGAGCAGAAAAGGTCGCAGCATGCTAGACGAGTTTTGACAGAAGCTTCTTGACACGGCCCCGGAGGATTACGAGCCCCTTCGACGCGTCTGCTGGGCAAAGTTCCAGCATCTTCTTTCATCCGGGGAACCAAGAATCGCGCCACAAAACGAACCAGCGAACGCACAAACACAATCATACGCAATCTTTGTTATGTTCGCAAAAAATTAGCAATAAAAAAGTTGTATTGTTACTACGCTAAACGCTTTTAAAGTTAATTCCCCGTTAAAAATCCGCGAGTGGAAAGACGTTCGATCAGTTAAGTTTGCGCGACCGCGGACGATGCGTGGATCGCAGGTACCGGTGACGTGATGGTCACGCTGCACACTGTCCGCGGACGAGAATTGCGATTAGGTTCGTTGTGTGAAATGACCATTACGGATTGACCGACGTAAACAGCCGGTGCTTACGCGGCTCCTGAGGTTGGTAGGCCCTATAAAGATACCGCTTTCATAAAAAAACATGAACGCCAGGCCTTGCCGCTTACTCGTCAAGTGGTTTGTTGCTTCACCTCAATCTACCGCGTCTCCCAAAAAGCGGCCAGGCTCTTTAAATCGACCGCTTAAATCGGTTCCTTAACCTATCGCGTTACGATTTCGCACAGCGTTAACCACAGGTGGTGTGTTTTTTTCTATAAACTTCCAAAGAGCGAACTTTCCTGAGCAAAAAGTAAAAAAGGAAAAAAGGCTTAGTTCCTATGGAAACAAAATGGTGAGTTGGGCCAGTTGGTTCATAATGGAAAAAGACAAGCGCCGAAAGACCAGGACAAGGTAAGAAGACGACGACACAAGGCGCCTGGCTGTGCATTGCAACCGACGTGAGTGCACACCAGTTTTCAATGACGTGGCAATCCTGGGGCGATACAGCAAAAAGACTACAAGGGAAATTCATGAGGCGTATGCAATAAGGAAGGGTGCAGATAAGTGCATAAGCGAGCCTTCAGTGACTCTGTCAGAAAAAGAGTGTCTATTCTTGGATAAAGAGTGGGCAAGTGGAAAGTGACGTGGGTGTTTTTTAAAAGTGTATATAACACTATGTTTTTCCATAAATAAATCTTCAGTTGCGAGCGCCTTGTGTCGTCGTCTTCTTACCTTGTCCTGGTCTTTCGGCGCTTGTCTTTTTCCTATGGAAACGCAACGAAGCCACCGGTTTTCAAACCGTAGAGCGCCCTATGGTTAGAAGACCGGTGGCTTCGCTACGTTTCCATAGGAGTTAAGCCTTTTTCTTTCTTTTTTTTTTTTACTTTTTTCTCAGGTAAGCTCGCTCTTTGCGAATTTTATAGAAAAAATGCACCACTTGTAGCCAACGCTGTACAAAATCGTAACGCGATAGGTTAAGAAATTGAATTTTGCGGTCGATTTAAAGAGCCTGGCCGCTCTTTGGGGCTTTGGTTACTTTAGGGATACATTTTCGGAAATATACTCCTATCGCAACGCTTGCTTTTTATGCGAAAGCATTAACTGTCTCATGGAGCGAAACCCGCAGTGTCTGTAACCGCCTGTAGTAGCGAAACAGCAGTTAAATGCCCATTTGTCAAAGGCACAGCAAAGCAGATGCTTCGTCACGAAAGCCGCCGAAGCGCCCAAGGTAAAAGCGGAGGTGCCTCAGAAATAAAACACAAAGAAAACCTAGGCAACGCCTATGCATCGTCATGGAAGCCGTGGAGCCCGCAGGGTTCGCCGCAGCGTGGCGCGCTGCTCGTAGGAATGCGCTGTGTGTAGAAATGTTTTCGCAAACCTACACGTAAGCAATCTTAAGTGTCCTCCAGTATTGTTCTGTGTCCCGCCATATTTTTTCTCCTAATATCAATATAGCTGCTTTCATGTTTCATTGACACTGATCTTAGGTTGGAGTATAGTGAGTATTTTAGGATGGAGTATAGTGAATCGTTTGGCAGAAAACAAACATAAAAAAATGTGTTATGTTGCTTACATATTGTCGGCGATAGGTTGAGCATGGAGAGGGACCTCCTCTTCTTCGCGCACTCGTTGCCATCCATCGTGCCTTGGCTACGCGTTACCCAACGAAGAGAGCTCCCTCTCTAGGGAAAGCTTCTACTGCGTTGTGGCCACGTCTAGTTCTCTATAACGCAACTGCGTACGCGCTTATTTCTTCGCCGGAATCGTCTGGTTCAAGCGAGAAGCGTGGACTCCGGTGTTTTGTCTCGCCTATTAGCGACAACAATACAACAAAGTTTGAAACTATGCCACCGTTAATTTGGGAAACCGTCGATTCAATTAACACTGTTTTAAAGGCAGTTTGGTACCGCTGCTCCCGATTTCGTCTCTGGGAACAAAGGGGTCATTTTCGAGCTCACGGTGAATTGGCGATGCTCTGGAAGCGTTCTCTTTTCTATTGACAGGGTGTGCTTGATATATTTGCTAACACTAATTACGACCATTCATACCTATGCGTGTGAGTGTTAGTAGCTTCACTTACCACCCATGTAGCACTAGCATTGGTCCCTGCACATAAGTATTTAGGACTTCACATTATCAGCGACCTCAAATGGAACACACTTCGGTATGTAAGGTCTAACCTTTAATTAGCTTCACCAGAAATAAAGCCGTTAGCCAACACAACCCTGGTAAGGTTACAAATTGAATATCCATCATCGATATGGTGACCATTTCAAAGTTATCCCGCTAATGAGTCGACAGCATCCAGAACAAATCATTAAGTTATATATTTTTTAGATTATTTTTCATATACTGTAAAAACTTTCCTTACAACGTGAGCTTTCCTGATCACCCCTTCATGTGATACAATATTAGCACAATCCGCAGATGAAAACGGCCTTTCTCAACAGCCCCCGGCCGAGTTTCCGCCAGAAGTGACATTAAGCACACATTAATAGTATAATTGCAATTCCGACATGGAATTTCTTGTCAAATAAGTTTCTAACAAAATCTAACACCGCTAAATTTCAAAACTTGCTTGCTGCCTTTATTCAATCATAGTAATTATGATAGCTCTAATTGTAGTAGGTGCTGTAATTTTATTATTGTGTAAATTGTATGCCTTGACGTGTTGTGTTCTTACTGTTTTTTTTGTGTTTCCTACTAAATTTCAAAATTCTGCTAAGACGCACCTTTTTTTATTACCCTGAAACAAACCCTCAAGGTATAGAAAAAATAAAAATAAATATGTTCATTAATGAATGGTTCTAAACTTCATTTGATGCTGAAAATAATACATTCATATTGTATAGATTAAAATCCCCCAGAATGATCAATCCCAAAAATCATTCTTGTACTAGCGCGTAGAGAGGCCTTCAGATTGCGATATATCATATGCAGACGTTTTGAGGCGGTTGAACATATTTTCTTTATTTGACTCCCGAGAGCCTTGGCGTCCTATAGCATTCCCTAGAGAAAATAACGTATGTCAATGTAAGATTGAAATGTTAGCCCGTGTAGTTCATGTTTTTCGAATATTCAGCTTTCTTCCTCTGCGAGCTGAAAACGGGCGAAGCATTATTATATTATTCTATTATTTGTGCTTATATCTGTCTTGTCACCAGGCACGAATTGTCGATGTTTCTCAGAAACGCCGCCAGAAAAACGTTTCAAAACGTGGTTCATTATTTGTCTATTTGTAACCAAGTTATTGTAAATAGATGAAGCACCTTGGCAAATATCCTCATACGAAATATCAAAAAATTATATTGTTTGAAAATTGAAACAACATTGGTAATAGTGGCCGAATTTCAAGCTTTAAGTTGTTTTTTTTTGTCTTTTTTTACGAAAAAGCGGGGGGAAATGAACATAGAAGTATGAAACTGCTGGGCAAAGGCCCCCTGCCCCCACAACAACAGAAGCAATCATCAACTCAAACAAAAACTAAAAAAAATATATGAATTAATAATAGAGCAATAAAGCTGCCCAAATAGCAATATTCGATACATACTGGGGTATTCGGACCAGCGTTGGACTACAGACCTGATGTTTATCTTTCTATTATACCAACCATGAGCGGCCCAGGAAATGTACAAATGAATTTTTTCACCATTGAAATAACTCTCAAGATTGGATGATAGGCACGATGTGACATTGAAAAATTATAATTTTATTCGTAAGAACAGTAAACTGGGCACGCGAACGTCATTTCACAAAAAGGTTTATATCTGTATTATTGAGCTCAACCCAAAGGTGGTGGCTTATTAAAAATGGTGCAAAATCTGCGGACGTGAATTTTCTGTGTTATATACCAGATGTTGATTGACTGCACTTTGGTTTGCGAGAAACACTCAGTTGGGAAACTCCCATAGAGACAGCTTTGAAAAAGTGGCCCCAAACTGTCTCCGAGCACCGAGCTAATGCCGAACACAACGCCACCATTTCTCCCGCAGCGGCCACTCGACAAACTGCACGTGGTCTATTTTGGCTTCAAGAACAGATACAGCGGTAGAGGTTACAGGGGTGCCACCCCCGTCTCCCCGGCGGACGCGCCGCGTTGAGCTACCGAAGTTAAAATGCACCTAGGGCGGGACGTGCTACCTGAAAGGCCCGCTGAGGCATGGTTGTATAAAAACAATATTAATTGTGCCGCAAAACCCTGCAAACTAAAGATTTTAAAAACATAACGCGCCCCTCTTCTGGTACTAAACTCCAATAAATTTCATACAAAAAGAGTCTTTTTCGTTTGTTCTTACGCAAAAACAGGCTTTCAAAAAGCTCAAGGTGACCACAGTACAGACAAATGATAAAGAGTGGCGCTGTTGTCGCATTTAGCTCGGTCTCGGTGGGCGCCAGCGGCCCAGGTTTCGACGGCGAGTTTCCCAACTGAGTGTTTTAGTAACGTTGGAGCTCGCTAACCAGTGAGCAGACGACGAACAGGCTAGCACAGGACATTAAAACTCACGGCCACCATTTTTGCTTTATCTTTTTTTTTATATTCCACGACCTTAGTTCAGCTCTAAAAATTCGACATTAAACTTTTTGCGTAACGACATTGGCGTGCCCAATTTCAGGTATGTAGGTTTGAAGTGCGAAATTTGCAAGGCGTGCCCAATGTGCGGGTTCTTATGACATGACCGTACTTTTTTCGCAATCTTGCGTCGCTACTGCATTCATACTTTTCTCTGGCGACTTCATGTGTATACTGCGTAACGCGTATTCACTTACTGTTTTAAAACAGCAAGATTACACAAAGGTTATTGTGAGTTTTAAGAATTCACTAATAATATGTTTGATAATGAAAGAAAACAAAGCCACAATCGAAAGTGCTATAGCAAACAACAAAAATTTATTTGTTTAGTTTTAATTATTCCAGTGTGTAGCCTTATTTTTGCCGCCGCTTTACGTAAATCGTAAGCCAAGTAAAACTAGTAAATTTGGATGTGAACTGTCGTTATTTAAAAGTAACCTTAAGAGGTTTTTGAATTTTGGAAACATGTGAAATTTTGGGTTTGGGTACCTTACTATATTGTGAGTTATTAAGCAATAATATTTTTAGTGTTGAGATGATCCTAAATTAAGGTTTCTCAATAGCTCTACACACTGTTGCAAGCCGAGCGAAGGAGAACAAAGGAGAAAAAGGAAAACCAGGGAAAGTGATGTAATCGTCATCGGCAGTGTCAGATGAATCTTGAATTTCGGCTGGCTCAGGGAGGCCGTAAACAATGTTAGGACGACTTTGATACACAACATCCGACAAAACGGTTCGCCGCACCAACCGTAGCAATTAACGCGCATGAATTATATTTTCTTTAAAGCAAGTTACGCTACATTTTGACCTATTTAATAATTAAATATTTCAAGTTACAAAAAACTATAAAAAGCTAAAAAAGTATTTTTTCATGTGATTCAGGTTTTCTTTAAAGCGGAGTGGATGCCAAGAGGGTCAACAATGTGTCCGAGTAAAACATGTAATGTTTGTCGTTTCTTCGTAGGTGTCCAAACCCTGATTTCTAAAGCAGAAGCCAGCTGCACGGAAGCAGAATGCAGCTGCGGAAGATTCAGAATGGACGGTGACTGCAAAGTCTGCGAATGTGGGAATGGAGCCGAACGAGCAGGTACATTGACTATTCTTGCAAAACGATTATACAAATTACAGAAAAAACTTGTTTTCGGAATTTGAGATTAAGAATTTTACCATGCTAACTTCTTTCAAACCACCTCACTTTTGTTTTCTTTTTTTTTCTTTTTGTCATCTCATTTGTATGATAGTGGAATATATCAATAACCAGAAGCCAATCCAGAACAAGTTTCTTGAATTATCACAAGTTTACGCCCAGATTATTGTATTAACGCCTTCTGCAACTAAACATGCTTGTTAAACTCCTAAGACTGCAATGAGATTTCTCATAACTGCTATATTAACTTTTTCTAAACTTATTCCTCTGAAGTTCATGGGATCACCGTACAGGGCAATCGTGAATTTCCATTGGTATAATGCCTTTCAGACCAGCTTAATATAAATAAGTTGTAAGCTATTCTATGACATCCTTAATTGTTCAGTTAAGGCAGGATGCCCTTCCTCATTGTAATTGCGTTCTAGTTATTACTGTTAAGCAAAAGAATTTTAAAAAAGTTAGGTTTTTGCATGCTTTTATACCTAAAAAAACATCTTATTATGATTAAAAGTTATTTATCCTTGGCATCCTTTTCCGTAGCGTTTATCGCAATGCTTCTTAAATTTATCTATTTCCAAAGACCCAGTTCTGTTCCGTATAATATCTCCCCTAGCATCTAGAAGGTCCAGTTGATGACTTAAATGAGCGCAGCTTCCGTACCACCAAACGCGATTCGTCTTTTCTTCTACTAACTCACATCTTAAAAAAACGCTAGGCGTACGTGGCTCATTACGATTAGGAGTTTCGCCTCAAATTTCATTCTTCTGCGTTCTTCTTGGTTAGAGGGCAACTCCGGTCTGTATTTTTTAAATTGGAATTATGACTGTTCACAGCTAAAGCAGTGTCCCTGAAATACAGGGAATATCTTCTTTTTCTACATGCTGTGTAGTTATATTAATATTACGGCTCAGTGTTCGGTATCAGCAGTCTACGGCAAAACCGAAACTATCTGCTAGAGGGATGGCAGCACTGATCATTAGCCGTACAGCCGCGATGTGACGTCACAATTGTGCTGCGATAGGCGGTACAACCAACGTTACTAGATTACCTCGTTTGTGGAACTCCCCCGGAAGGGGGTACCCCTCACTCACTTTAGTCTGCCTCTCCTCGTTTCAAGCGCCATCTAAATTTTCGTTTCAAAACTGAGTGTTTCATGCAGCAGAGATGGAACGCCATCTAGGCGCTGTGCTTCGAAACGTACGTCTTCCATAAAATACACTGCAGTTACCATAGCGGCCGTCCGGCGCGTCGAACGACGGGAGGCGAGTGGTTGTGAGTGAGAGGGGTACTGCCAGTGCAAGCAGCGCCTATGAGCAGTTCGATAACTGAGCTAATCTGATAACCAATAAACCGCAGTACCACCGCAACGTGAAGTCGCAAACGTGCTGCGCCAGTGTTCCATTGACTGAAAGCCAACCCGCTTGCCGCCTGCTAAGGAGCAGTTAGCTGGTCGCATCTTTAAAATCAATTTTAGTAAAGTTCGCGGGTTCACCTTTATACTTTTCTATTTTTTTTTTTATTTACTTTGGGTGCCCCAAAATAACCTCATCGGTCTTCCCCTTGGTGCACCAACACGAACAATAAAACCAGCAAACAAACAAAAAATACTAAACACACATAAAGTTACGAGACAAATGTTAGATAATTCAAATGGCGACGGTACATTGTAACAGCTCCAGATATATGAAAATGGGGTGAAGCGATGGCGTTATATCATGACTGAATCCGAGAGAAGTGATGCATTGCACAGTGAGTGAACATAGAAGCAAACAAAATGTCTAGTTAGACGTGAAGGAACATGAAGGTTCACCCTTTCACGGAGTTGCGGAGAATCAAATGCACTATTAACAACCCTAACGTAAGACGTAAGATTCCGACTGTGGTCATATTTAGTGCCACTAAAACGAGACCAGTCATTTATTTGGGTTTCTTTTTCGACCAGAGTTGCCCTTTAATACCGCAAATTTATTGGCATAGGAGCGATTATGAGATGCTTGATATTCGTCACGCACAGAGCGTTTCTTCAGCCGCCAGTGTCTTTAGAGATCAGCCTGGTAGTAACATCCCCAAACTGTTCACAAATATAAATTATACAAGATACCTCAAATATTTGTCAAACTTTTTTGATTCGGGCATTCGTGAACCAAGGCTTTATAGACCGTTTACGCTGATAGAAAAAAAAAAAAAAAAAGATTTGTAAACGACTTACTTTTTGCGGACTCAATATTTTGCGATTTTGGTAAAAACTAAAGCTTTGGAATAATTCGCGGGTTCTAATTTTCGCGAAGCAGTGCGATCTCATTATACGTAGATTCCAATGAGTTTAACTTTTACCGGAATGGTTCGCGGGAACTATTTTTCGCGAATTGTAGGTGATTCGCGAAATTGGCAAAACTTAGGTACTCGCAAAAATTAGGTTGTTTACAGTATATATAGTCATAGGGCGGCCTTTCTAATATTCGTAATAAATTTTTCCGATTTCATTATTTTTCGTTTCAGGTCCAGGCGTCTACATGCTTGTTTCGTTGCTCTGGGCAACGATTTCAACCAGGGTCATCTGAACGTCGCGTCCCCATGCAGAGTAACCGATAAAAGCGGCCATGCACAAACCAACATGTCTTTAATTACGCATAGAGCGGTTCGCGAAATGCTGGAGCGTTCTATCGAGCCGGTGTTGCCAGGGCAACTATTCTCATCATCCCTTATTACCGGCAGACCTCTACGTAATCAGTTAGTCTAAGATAAACCGCGGAGCATGTTGGTGGCAACATGGATGCGTTCAAAACATAAAAGTACCAGACAAACGGGAAAAGCCGTGCCCACCCTTTCGAGGTACAAAAACATATTTTTCCAATACTTCATCAGCGGCAAACTCATCCGGAGAATTCGAGATGATTCGAGATGACGCCATTTTTTTTTTCTTTTTGACAAACAGAAAGTGATTTCCCTTTCCTCTCAATACATTCTGTCTTTTTTTCTGTTGGCATTAGACATTCTCCTTTTGGATTTGGGTTCCCGTTCATCCATATTTGAAAAATAATAAATATCTTGCTAATTTAAAATCTCGTCCCGTTTGTTCCATGCACGTTTTCTATTGCGTTATCCGTCGATCTTCCTTTTCTTATTTTGCTTGAATAATCTGTTGAGTATTGTAAGAAAACGTTCTGGGGCTTCGCAAACTCACATAGTATTAATAATTTATGTTAGTGAAGTCGCGAAAACCTCTTGGTCCTTCCAAATGAAGTATACTTGCCTTTGTTCCACGACCTGCTCATTTCTTTTTTTCCCGGCCTATAGAATAATCAAGGCCTGCGAACATGTTTTCACCTCCCTCAATGAAACGCCATTGCAGTCGGATGTTGCCCACTCAGCAACTGGACACGAGCCCTGTGCCGAACGCCCTTCAACGCGTTGGGACACGAAGCTTAGCCGAACGCTGAAACAGAGGTTGTGTCCAACCTGTGTCTTGGCTCGATCTCCTTCGGTGAGGTAGAAATTCTAGTGCGCAGGCTTTGAGCATTCTAGGTGGTGTTGCTCCAGCTTTCTCGTAAACAACTGAATCGCAAAAATGAGCTGCGGTCGCGGCCTAAATATTTGAGAAAGAAAGTGGTTGTTGCAGTCAAACAGGAGATTTTACTTGTGTTGTTGCTTGTATTGTAGTTGAACTTCGTCTTGCTCTACGCCGGCGTGATTAATCGCCATCTCGCCCATGCTGTTGGCACACTTCGTTCTTCTCGGGAAAGTGATCCGAAGTGTCCGCGTTTATTACAATTTTGGCACTCACCCTTTCTTGCGATGGATTTTGATAAATTGACCCAATGCTGCGTTGAGTCGCATTTGCAGCACGTTCTGTTCTCCGGTGGACCTTGGTTAGAAGCATCTGTACCAGCCTGGCTGACTTTCCCGGCCAAATTTGGCTGTTCATTGCGTACCACTTGATCTGGCGCAGAACTTGTCGATATATTATTCGTGAGCTGGGGCCCTAAACTCGTCAAACACAAAGTTTGAGCCGAAAGTTGGCGGAGCACGCCGATTGGACGCTGGCGAAAAAAGCGCGAAGTCATCGTCGTGATACTCCAATCGGCTCGGTCCGTGAACTTCGTCCCAAACTTTGTGTTTGACGAGTTTAGAGCCCTTGGTCTTTCCTTCTGCGTTGCTACACCTGGTTGGCCAGTAGGACGGCCCTGTCTAAAGTGAGCGCAGAGCCCTTTAGCAGAAGGCGCTCTTGTACAAAGGGTAGCGACCCTTCTCGACCAGTTGGTTGCGTAGAGCCTCGTCCAGAGTCAAAATCTTCGATCAGCCACGACGTTTTATGACTCGGCGTAACTCGTTTCCAGTGGAGACATTGAAGAGTTGTATTCAGGTGGAGCAATCGGTGGCTTGCCTTGACCATTATCTTTTTCCCGTGTCCCCATAGTAGGCGTAAAAACTGTAGCGGGCGTACCCAGTGGCATTGCGTAGAAGATGCACTGCCCCTCCGTGCCTAACGGGTAGATCAACACAGCCTGTTTTCGCTCGGGGATGAAATCGCCGGTGTCCACGACCATCAGGTAAATTTCGAACACTCGGCGCCGTTGCTTTCAAGGTACGGGAGCTTTACCTCGATTCTCATGAAACAGAGGCGACGGCGGAAGGCTGCCGGTGTTCATTGTAGTACATCGTTGAACGGCCGAACCAGCAAAGGCAATGCTTGAAACCTCAACATCCTCGTCGCCGAAACTATGTTGTGTCGGGAAGAACAATCAAGTAATACATCCAGACACGTCACCGTTCCATCTTGAGCTCGTTTATTCACGCGCGCTTTATCGTTTAATCCTGCGTCTATTTCACGATGATCATTATAAATCTATCGTCCGAAAAGTGGTGATACAACACGTCACAGGTCAGTTTGGTGTCTCCGTGTTTTTGTCTTGGTTTCCACTCAACTGCGCTGGATTGCACGAGTCAAGTGAGCTACTGGCGTTATCTCGACAAGACTCGTACGCCTGATGAACCAGAGCAGCCGCCTCGGTGGCTCCGAGGCGAGAGCGCCGGCCTACGGATCCTCAGGTGGCGGGTTCGAATCCCGACCGAGGTGCCCGCAATATGACGGAGGCTTATTGCGGAGAAGGCGCCGTGTAACCGAGCTTTCGGTTGCACGTCGAACGATCCCCAGGTGGTCGAAATTAATCCTCAGTCCTCCGCTGGGGCGTGCCAGATGCCCGTCGTAGGTTTGGCACGTAAAACCCCCAAATTGGAATTTGATGAACCAGACGCGGTCGCCCGGAATGCCGGAAAAGACCTTGAGGCTAGATGGCGTGCTAATGTTAGAGTGAATTAGAAATCAGAGTAAAAGCGCATGCGAGCTGGTGCACATTCATAATGAAAAACCTCGAGACAAGGAACAGATAGGACAAGGAGGACACCGCATCAAATGAAGATGTTGTCCTTTTCCTCTCTGTTCCTTGTCTCGAGGTCTCTAATTGTAAAATAGAGTTCAGAATGACCTCATGTATAAGCTGCTTATGGCCATGTGCTCATACGTTCCGGCAGCCGTTCATGTTCAAAAATTAGAATTCCAAGGGTCGATTTGTCGTCCAAACAGAATCCGGCAGGCGGATTGGTAACGAGCGCGGTATTGTGATATTTTTCAGCCCGCATTTGTGTAATACCCTGAAGAAAATAAATGCTTATTTCAACCAATCAACTCCATAATTTTTTGTTTATCTGTCATGGTGCAGCCACCTACTTACCCGAATCTCTGCTTCGATTACACCGACCAATCAGCAGAAGGGGAAAACAGTGTGGAGCAGAGCCCGCTAGTCTGCGGTGGACTCAGTTTCGCCGGGCTCTTAGCGCGACGGTACCAGCGGGGCGCAGCGTAGTAAAAGACGTCGGGACAATCGAGTTCGGAGCCTGAATCTAGGACGATGCAAGGGGGCCTATGGCGACGAGGCGCACCCGTCCTCGACGCACCAGCCATGAACCCAACCCGGAGCCAATTTGTCAGCCGCTTCTCTCCAACCCCCCGATCAGTTAATTTTTCATCATACGTCACGGTGCTGAACGTTTTACTTCCTTCTGTAATCTTATTTTGCTTATAACTCCCAACATAGGTTTCATTTTCAGAACAAACAAGTTTTTCCTCCCTGTTCTAACGTTACATGAGCTCCCTCTCACTGCAAATTCCGAACTAGTACGAAAAGTATTAATGCACGCCTTTAACGTAATTTTCTGGCTTTTCTGTTGGATCTTAGATTTTTTTTTAATAATTTGTCGCAATTGTAATTTTTTTGCCAACGGGAAGCACTAACATTTATGCAAATATCCTGCCTTGATGCTATTTTTATGTGGTTTAGACTGCGTACATTTTTAGAGGTTTAATGTCAACGAATGTTTCTCATTGTGTTGGAGGAAATTTATATTTTCACACTGATCATGGCGATCTGGGATACTTGTCGTCATTTTCGTAGTTTTTTAGTTAGAGCGTCATAAACAGGCTGCGCTTTCCTAGCAGTCAAAGTGCCGTTTCAACACACACAGCGCAGCCCACGGACGCCACTCCCCGAAAATTTTAAAGAATATTATTTACAGTAGTATTTGGGCACACAATTCTTGGTGTAACTTCGAGTGACGCAAGAACTGCCATTATGAAAAACAGCAACGGATATATTATAGGCATCATACCGTCTTTCGTTCTTCTTTTTCTGTTTTCGTTTACCGGTTGTTCTGAGCTTCCGAGTATATATGCACACTTTTTGGTAAATATCTGTGAACATTACCTGAATTTTCATGCTATTCATTTTAGGCTTGAACGTAGCGACTGAATAATAAAAGAATAAATACAAAGACAATATCTAATATTTTACGTGAATTAAGTAATCATTTAGTAAAAAATAACTATAAAATTTTCTCCACCTCTTTTTATACCTGTGATAATTGGTTACCTTTTTTTCTATTTAATAATGCGTTATCACCTTACCCATATTTTATTGGTTTCTGTAATAAAAACGTGTAAAGCAAAATAAAGCTGTTAAGAAAATCTAGAGTTGAGAAGTAGGAATCGCAAATGGCATTTTAGAACAGGAAATACCTACCCGCGTGAAATATAGAAAACGAAAATATTTGTATATTTACGAAGTGCGGGTCAGCATTAAACTTACATTTGTTGCAGTGCGGTTAATACGACGACCATGTGGTCTCGTCGTGCGGATGTGAGGTTGGGAGTTGGATCGTGCTGGAGCATGAGCGTGGGCAGGCGATCTTGATTGCCTTTCGGTTTTGAACCGATCGAAGGTCGGGCACGCCGGTGACTTGTTTTCAAATACATTCGTCTTGCCCTAGTGTTGTCAAGCCGGTGTTGGTTAGTGCTTACGACCTGGCAGTCCATTCTTGTTTGGGGCGTGTCTTAAGCGCCCAGTCCTGGCTGCTGGCCTCTGGCTGCTCCGCACTGACTGATCAGGTCAAGAACACAATGCTGCTTCGACCGGAGTTATAACTTCAGAAGTCGAGTCATATGTGGTGCCATCGGCGCTGACGGAAAAAAGCTCCAAGCGAAGGTAACACTTTTTTCTTTGCCTGTACGACAATTTTTCGGCCGCTGTGTAACTGCAATAACGCTGAAACATAGGCTAATTGGTACAACTTTATTGGTTACCAGCATTACGAGCAGGTACGGCCGGAGATGGGAAACAGAATCGCATTGGCCATGCTACTTCCTCACGCAGAGCCAGCAGGCGGAAAGAGCCTTCCTTCACAATGGAGAGGGCGCACAATGTTGCCAACGGCGCACACAGTTGTCACGATTTTGAAAGGGGTCTATTACCCTTTAAAGGGCAACTCCGCTTCATTTCTGATATTTAGAAAACTATGCATCCCTTTTCAGTATCATATAGGAAGACCCCATGCAAAATATTACGATCTAATTCCGTCTATATATTTAATAAACTGGCCAGCAAACTTTAAAATCAGCCAAGTCGCCGAAAT